GGGGGAATGCTGTCGGCGCTGATCATAGTGTTAAGACGTGAGACGCACAGTCTGTGACATCACCTCCTGGTGTCACTCCCAGTCCCGACACGAGACGCACAGTCTGTGACATCACCTCCTGGTGTCACTCCCAGTCCCGCCGCAAGATGCACAGTCTGTGACATCACCTCCTGGTGTCACTCCCAGTCCAGACACGAGACGCACAGTCTGTGACATCACCTCCTGGTGTCACTCCCAGTCCCGCCGCAAGATGCACAGTCTGTGACATCACCTCCTGGTGTCACTCCCAGTCCAGCCGCAAGATGCACAGTCTGTGACATCACCTCCTGGTGTCACTCCCAGTACCGGTGCCGGTACTGGCGGTTCTCGGCACCCAGTGCCAAGAAAGTACCGACATTGGGTTTCGCCTGTACCGCCCAGCACTACTGGAGACACAGATAAGAATTTAAAGACCACAGACACAAGTAAAGTTAAAATGATGTTTAAGTGTATGAACTTAAACTATCAATACTAACCCAATAAGAATATCAAAATCTAAAGCTACTGAACTCACTCTGCATTATGCACTTCAGACGAAAACTCCAGAGGCTTTCCATGATGCCCGTGACCATGTCCTCCTTGCTGCTGTTGATGCTGCGGCTGCTGTTGGTGATGCTGCTGCTGCTGCTGCTGCTGCTGCTGTTGTTGTTGTTGTTGTTGCATGTGCTGAGGAGGCTGTCCCTGATGAGGTGGCACACCAGGAGGTTGTTGTACAGACAGATGAACAAAGGAAAGGATGGCTATTGCGATGCAAACCTTCATTATGACCTGAAAAAGATATAGGTTGGTATAATGAATAAAATGGAAACAGCCATGCAACTACAAAAGTACAAATAAAACTCATACTAATAGAATAAAGTTAGATCTATATACTTTAAATATTTAATTTAGGGGAGGATAAATCAACACTCTTCTATCATTTTCATTCCTTCAAAATCTAACTGAGAAAAACATGCAAAAATGACACAGATAGCATCGATCAGGGTAGGACTTAAGTAATGAGCGACCAATATGAAACAGAGTAGAAAAGAAAGTTAGGGTTAGGGTTTGGGGTAAGGGTAGGGGTAAGGATAGGTGTAGGGGTTGGGTCAGGCCCTGGGTTAGGGTTAGAACAGTAGAAGAGGCCTCTTCTTTATTGTGTTTGTTGGGGTGGTCGCTCGTTGTGGAAGTCCTTCCTCATTCTGACTTGTGGATGGCCCATGGGGACTCAATCTTCATACAAATATATACAGTTAAGATTAAAAAAGGGTAATAAAGAGAAGGTGAGTCAGGCTAGTTCAGCGGAGCCAACCACACCACACAGATCATACACGCAGCATGTGTAGGACTCCAGAGGACTCATGTGTAGTGTGTAGAGGATTCTCAGGATTTCAGACTCACTTTTTCGCTTATCAGGTTGTATTCTCGTCAGTTCCAGCTGTTAGGATGAGCACGGTGTAGACGTCAGTGGGTGGCACAATAATATCACAACAAACGTAGATTCTAGGTTTAAATTACTTTGCCTTTGCCAGCTTTTTACATTCAACTATTCAACTTTCACTATTCCACACACAAAAAATTGACCCTCTCAACTCATCATCCCTTTAATCTATGGGTAAAAAAAAAGAATATACTTTATAACTTTCTGATAACAGAAGAATGCAAGGTGCTAATACTCACCAAATTCGGTATACGTAAGGAAAACCGGTTTCAATATGTTAGATTAACGTGCGTGGTTGTGATAAGTGATGAGGTGTCTCTAACTTCTGTTATGTACACACACAGGCCCATAAATACATCGATTCTGGATACTGAGTAGTCGGTTATGATAGATTTCATGGTATCGATATTTCAAACCTGCTTTACAACGTTTCGAGGGTTTTTTTCCCCGGCAATTCAATTCCAGTGTTGGTCATCACCTTAAAAAGGGTTCTTTGGCGAACTAGATACTCAGACGAGTTTCAATGGAGAGAACTCTGTAACAACCAACTGGCTTCCTTGTTTATTCTGTTACGAAATAATGAGCTTTATTCGTTTTATAGTTAGGAGATACATATTGATAATTTGACTCCTGGGATACAATTGAGAGGTTTGCTTTAATAAAAATAATAAGACTTTATATTATGCGCATGTATAAGAAATGTGCATTCTGTGCATGCCTTTTGAGATGTAGGTAATCTGAAAGAGTATTCCTAACCTGCTGGCATTAATTGGTTAACCTATTCATTTTTTAAATCGAAGTATTCAGTATTTAGTCTCATTGAAACATTTTATGTGTCGTTCTGGGAGAAGCAGGAGTATCCTTGAGGGGGTGGACTTTCAATGCATAATATTATAGAGCACGATAAAATTTGCATGGATGGTGAGAGAAAAAAAGTGTTTATTTGGGGGGTACAATAGGCAAGGATCACCTGAAGATCCTGCTTGGTTCGACATGCAAGCATGTCATCTTTCAGGACTTCTGGCTGTCATTGCGCCATAAAGTGTTAGACCCTGAAAAAAGATCACATCGCCCGTTTATACCATGAGTTACGAAGGAAAACCTGCGTCAAAAGTCAAGCAATATGCTTTCCTTTTTAAAAAAAGCCAAAACAGCTCCCAATTACACAGGAAAATATATCACCACCCTCCAGAGTGTTATAATATAGGCCTCATGTATTCAGGGTGTAGTCGCCCACGGATAACGAGTGTCCCATTTTCCCCGATATATTTATATCGATACATTTTATTTCAAGTAATTGATATCGTCTCGAAGTCTTCTTCCGGTAGTTAGTCTAAAATCCCGGGGTATATATAATATTTACACTTTTGAAGCTGAACTCGTATTCGGTTAATAGCTTCAGCTGCACAAAGAGTAGTATGATTATATCACGTGCATAATGTAATTTTTAACAATTCTAATTACAGAGTAGATCTAGATTCTAGATCTATATCATATTATAGTTTTTATTGACATAAACTCTTTTCAAGAATTTAACATTTTCAAAGCAACGAACTTGTCGTGTTGTAAAAGGTTTTTGTGGATAGCGGTAGTCGTAGAAACAAAGTTATCATCGATTTTCATGGCTGCACAACGATCCACGGATCGGGGGGGAGTTTATAACATATGATTTTTAAAAATTAGGGCTTTTTTAAGTAAAGAAGAAAAGACGGTTAACTTTGTATCTGTAAATCCCGTATGAGCTAGTAATATGTTATCCGCATGCACAGAAACACAGAGAGAGAGAGAGAGAGAGAGAGAGAGAGAGAGAGAGAGAGAGA